AAAAATATTTTCTGGCTCTTCATTTAAAAAAAATATGATGGAATCTCAGAAAAATCAGAGTGACTAGTTTACACTTGACTTCTGAAAGATTCTGCTGCTGTCTTCAAAAGAAAACCTCATTTTATCCAAAGACAATAAACCTTCCAAAGTCAGAAAACCTGTCTTACACTTGCTGGCAGAGTTGTAAATTCAAGGTCAGCCCAGGCAATTTAGCAAGATCCTGTCTTACATTTGCTGGCATATCCATAATGACTACTGGCACATGTATTTGTTAAATGTTTTCTGACAATAGAGATTATCAAGAAATGAGAGGGCAGGGTGGAAGAATCAAGCAATAACCAACAGGAGGTGGTAGCGGAGAGAGTAAATTCTAACAGTGCTTTTCTTCTGCTCCTCAACCCCCACTTTGCTGTTTCTCTGGTCTTTGTCTGGTCTGTTGGTGGTTCGCGGTTCGATAAGGGGGATAACTTAGATGGAATGTGTAAACTAAGAAAACCACGAATCTTTATTGAAACATGGAAAATTTCTCTAGATCCTAAGAAACACCTGCAGGGTTCTTCTCCCACCCGCTGGGCCAGACCAAAGCTTCCAGTGAATAGTAAGATGGGAAGCAACTTGCCTCATCAACCAGTGGAACTAATGAAGGCAGAAGAAAGGGAGGGCTAGTGAAAAGAAGACAATGGAAATGGTCAGTGAGAAGAAAGAACTGGAAGGACAGGTAGAGTCCGTTAGGAAGGATTCGTGGAATTCTGGAGCATTTTTGTCCCTATGACATTATTCTTGTGGATAGATTAGAAAAAACACAAGGATGGGGAGGGATGCCAGCCTCTCTGTCTGTGGTAAAGAAACAAGCAAACCTCTTTGGAAACAGGAGAGGAAAAAGAGCTGTCACTGACCCCTGCCAAGCTTATTCCTTTCTCCTGTTCTTCCTCTTACCTGGAGGTTCTCCCTCCTCCCCTCCATCTATCTCAGATCCCAGGGTTGTCCTGCTTTTCCAGGACAACCCAATCTCCCTCCTCCCCTGAACTCCTTCAGCACATCTGCTGTGTACCACACAATCCCCACTGGATTAGGCATATTGTCTGGAAAGGTTCTTGTCTGTGTGTCTTATGAAACCCCTTGTAAACTCCTCGAGGACAAGGGCCATTTCTTCTGTGGCTGTTACATCTCCCACAGTACTGATGGCCTAAGAGACCCTGTGTACCGCCTTGCTGGCTCACTTACTGTAGGGTTCAATTCAGCTCTCTAGCTCCTGCCAGCAATGCAAAGAGTGCACAATAAAGTCCTTTCACTATTAAATTCAAAGATAGAGGGGCTGAAAAAGTACTGGTAAAGAATTATTCATTGTCTCAATTGCCTTATGGGAGCCAGATCCCAGAATCCTCAAGTTAGATGTAGAAATAACTTTGATATACTGTACGTGGATGCTCATTAGATTAGTATTTTACTTAGATGAAATATTTAAAACAGAGAATAAAAACAGATTGCAAAAATTAAGAAAAGGGAAGATTTTCTGTTTTATGGCTAGCTGATATTCCTCAAAGCTCTCTCCTGGCTATGTTTCATAGCTGCTAGTATATCAAAAGTAATATTTCCCCCTATTTCCTCATGGGGGAAATATTACTTTTTATATTTCAATGACAACAACATCACTGAAAAAGAGGATGTGATTAAGGGAAAGAAAAAAGAAGAGAGGTTCATGCTGCCATTATTTTCACTGTTGAATGTTTCAATGCTTTTTAGGGTATAAATAGCAATCAATATTTAGGAAAGGAAGCTGGATTCACACTATTTTGAATTCTGGGTATCTTCTTTACCATGGCTATTTTTGGGGCTATCATGTGCTCTTAACTCAATCCTGTCTTATGATACAGTTTGCAGCTGTTCCTAAATCTTTTGCAATGTCTAAATCTTTTAAGTATTAAGTATACTGAAGCTCATGAGAATTGCTAATTGGCCTTGGGAAACTGTGGCATCATTTTCCCAGGAGCTAAATGTGTTCATACTCATCCACTCAGTATGAAGGGGGAGAGAACTGTGTTGACTTTTTTTTTTT